CGAGCGGGGGCGGCCGGGAAGGGCGGGGGGCGGCGCCGCCACTGGGCTGTGAGAGGTGGACGGGGCGCGGCGGCCGCCCAGATCTCTGGCGGCGGGCAACGGAGAGGGAACATGGCGAGCGTAGGAAACGGCACGGAGGAGAGCGGCGGCGGCGGCGAGGAGGTAAACGGAGAGCGACTGCCGAGGGCTCCGGGCGTGCGGGCGGCGAGCGACCGTCCCCGCCGGCGCGACGGCGGCGGGGGAGATGCGRCGGGGGCTCCGCTACACCGGCCGCCCCGGTCGCCCACCTGCTCCGCGGCGGGGTGACAGGCGAACGCCCGGACGGGATCGCGACAGGCCCGGCTGCCGGTGGGGCGAATCGTCGCCTGGAGTTGGGGAAAGTTGTCCCGGCAGCGAGGCTGCGGGAAGCTCCTTCTGACATCCCCCGCGATCCTATCCTTTATTTATTTTTTATTCCCCTCCCCTTTTTTATTTTATCCCCTTTTTTAATTTTTACTTTTTAAATTTTTGTTTAGCCCCAGCTCCTGCGCTGCTCCGTCCKAGCGTGCCGCGCCGCCGCTCCGGTGCGCGTCTCTGCCGGCGGGCGGGTGCGACCCCGCGCAGGGGACAAGGGACAGGTGTGCGGGCAGCGGCCACCCCCCGCTCTGCACAGCGGCCGAGGCCTCGCTGTCGGGGTGTCCGACACGGCCCCGTGTGCCTGGGGTCTTCCATGGACTGTTTCTCTGTCTGGGAAGTGCAGTCGGTGAGATCTGTAGTTGATGTAAGATGCGTTAATAATTTCGCACTTGTTTTATTAAAGGTCATTCAACAGCTCAGACATGAATCCCTCAAAACGATCGCTTGAACTTGAAGATTTTCTTTGTTATCTTGTCAGTCTAGGAGGACGCAGTGGCAGGATTCCTTGACAGCASCTCTCGGAAACTGGTGATTGTAAAGAACTGTCCCCAGATGAGCTTTTGAGAACGGTACTGCCAAACTATGGCAGTTTTAACTGGAGTGTGCTTTTAAATGCGGTAGATAGCAGTCCTGGCGTGCCGTGTGGGAATATTGACTTGATTTCTGACTGCACAGTCTGGAATGAACGATTTCAGTATTGTGTGCATCCAGCAGCTTCTTCAGGAAGATTTTGCAAAGCAAATCCTCCCAAATTTTGCTAAAGACAGTTCATGAATGAGTACGTAACAGGCTGGGTTTTGTTCAGTGCCCAGTGTCTGAGATGTGGCAGTGTTTCATCCAACAGGGCAACTGACTAATGTCTACGTAGGACTTGCTGTGCTATGTGGTTCAGTGGAATCAGCTTGTTCTTGTTCGTGGTTAGAAAATGGGGATGTATATATTAGCTTGTATTTCAAAGCATGCAATGAAAGTTTCTGCTTCCTAGGGTTATACGTGGCAGCAGTGAAGAGGATGTGAAATGCCTCAAAGTCATTGTGTACTAGAGTGAATCACTGCAAAATCATAGTCATCTCTGTGAAGCCGAGGTTTTTTTTCCAAAGTAGGGAGAAAAAAATTGACTAGCTTTTGCAGCTCTCAGTAAGCAAGTAGTTGGAATTCACAGGTGTTGAAACAGATGCTGTGTAGCCCAGCCTTTCTGTGTGAGCAGTAGGAAAGAATAAACTTCACTGAGTTTGTTGTGAAGTATTAATGCTTTTTAGAGGAAAAGAAGCTGCTATWGAAAAAAAGTGGAAAGGTAAGCATAAAAGTACAGAAAAGAGGCATTATTTGAGCAGTACTCTGTAAAAAGAATAAAATTTTCTTAGCATTAGGCTAAAAGACCTCATGCACTTTTGCAGAGACTTGTCTTGATTCTTTGGAATATGAAACAGACCTGTACTGGTAATGGAGTGAGTGCTTTGATTTTTCCTGGTCAGATCCCAGAGTTCAGGAGGGAGAGCAGACAGTGTCTTGATCTTGGGGAAGGTCACTGCTTTTGTAGCATTAATTGTCTAGATGCCTGTAGACTGTCGTTGCCTACAGGTTCACTATAGTCTCTTTACTTTTCGCTTGTTCTGATTTAATGCACGTGATAATTGTTTTTGTGTGTCTTAGCTTTTTTTTGATGGTGATGCTGAGCAACAGAGGCAGCTGAACACTACGATTAGCCCTTTTTTTAAGAGCTGCATGCATCTAAATAATATTGTTACCCGGAATGTGGCAGATGGGAGCTCTGCTGCCTAATTTAAGTGTACATACTTTGTACTATATGAGTATAGCTTTTAGCATAGAATTTTGCTTTGCAGGGACTTGTGAATACTTCTTTACCCCTGAAGCTTTGAAGAGGAATATGTTAAGCTAAACCTTGAAGTTGTTTCCTACTTAACAGGACATAGAACCTGCAAGAACGCTTCTTCTAAAGTCCAAGCATAAGGTACCAGGTAGCTGCCCTCTGCTGTAGTCTGTTCCTGAGTAAAATTTGTGCTTTTCCTTATGCTTCTTGCCTATCAAGGAAATACCAGATACCATGTTTATCTTTTTTTTTTTTTTTTTTCTTTCTGATTTATGTCTCATTGTCCTGCAGCTGTGGCTTTCCGGTGGGAACAGAGAGAAAATGTAGGAAGTGTAAATAAATCTCTGGATTTTTTTAAACCCAACTAATGCAAGTGTATTAGTCCACTGTTTTTTATTCAAAGGGAAAGAAACCCACGAAGAGGAACCAGAGACCTAAGACTACGAGGCTGTATAAATGAGATAGTATCATGGTATCCCATCTGGGAGAGCATATGGTTGTTAAACTCGGAATTTTTCTGAGTGTAATGTTGCTTCCCTGGTGTTGGAGTGTGTTTGTGGTCATTCTCTACTAGGAAGCAGTTTCCTGATTACTACGTAATCAGTGTCCACCTGTGGTGTGGCCAGTTGTGAACTCAGATCATGATACACCATCAACACTTAAACCGCTATAGGAGACTGAACTCATTCCCTGAAAGAATTCATATTGGTATTCCTTCGAATTCCTTTCCAGGTTGGAAACCTAGGACAGATACAGGTAACATTAACGGCGAAATAGCATTCCCAGCCACTGGACAGTCTTCAAGCAAAACTTTAATTCTTCTCCCCATCCACTCTCTTCCCATCCCCCCCACTGTCTAAAGATTACTTAAAATAGCGGGCCAGATCTGCTTCCCATTAAGTTCACTCTTTGCTGCCCTGGTTTTTCAAAGTCTTAAAGCCAGCTTAATTGGTTACTTGGGGATTCCCTATTAATTAGAAAAAGTCAAACCCACAAACCCAATCTGAGTCTTTGTGCATGTGAGGGTTGTGGCTGGACAGAAAACATCTAGATGCTTCTTGATCTTAAACCTAAAAGAATTCCTTGTTTGGCCAAAGGGAGCCAGACTAAGGATTATGCACAAATCTGAAGGTGATTTGGTGCCCTTGCTGTGGTTAACTAAGGCTTTGGCTGGGGTAGAGTTAATTGGTGCAGTGCTGAGTTTTGGATTTAGTATGAGAATCCTTTGGGTCACACTGATTTCCAGCTGTTCCTAAGCAGTGTTTACCCCACACCAAGGACTYTCTCAGTGTCTCATGTGCTGCCAGCAGCCAGGTGCACAAGAAGCTGTGAGGGAGCATGGCCAGGACAGGTGGCCTGAACTGGCCAAAGGTAATTTCATATCCTAGACCATCCCATGTAAAGGAGTAAATCCTAGACCATGCCCAGTATGTAAACTGGGACAAGCTGTCTGGCAGAGGCCAATCACTGCTTGGGGACAGTCTGGGCATCAATCAGCAGGTGATGAGAAATTGTACTGTGCAATCTTTCTTTCTCTTGGGTTTTATTTCTTTCTCTTTCCCCCTTCCTACAACWTTTTTTTATTATTATTATTATTACTATTTTTATTACTACTATTATTATTACTACTATTATTATTACTATTACTACTATTATTATTACTACTATTATTATTACTATTATTATTATTACTATTATTATTAATTTTACTTCATTTCAGTTAATAAACTGTCTTTATCTCAACCCATGGACTTTACCTTTTCCCCCTGATTTATTCCCATTCCACTGGCATGAGGGGAGAGCAAATGAGTGGCTGTGTGATACTTGGTCACTGACTGGTGTTAAACCATGACAGGCTTTTTCTGGTGCCCTACAGGAGGTATGATGAGTTCAGGTAATGACAAATCTGAGTAGAAGAGGTTTTTAATTTGTTGTACTAATGACATGGGAGGAATACAGAGATGCTGCTCCCTGCTGTATGGAGAAAATTTGTGCGACCAAAGCTCAGCTGGAGTTAAAGCTCAGCTGRTCAGGGCTGTCAGAACAATGAAAAAAGGGTTTTTCTTTGATACTTGATGAGCAAAAGGCAGTGCAGAAATAACAACCCATKACAGGATGAGGATGGTCACCTCACAAACAGGGACATAGACAAGGCAGAGGTGTTTAATGCTATCTTTGTCTCTTCAACCCACTGAAGATGGGCTAAGGGTGTCCAAGCACCCTGGGCTGGAGGACCATGGCTCCCTGATAAATGATAAACTCTTAGCTGTATCCCTCTAAGTCTGTGGGGCCTGATATKGTTCATCTGAGAGTATTCAAAAAAGCTGGCTGATATCATTCATTGCAAGATCTCTTTCAATGATTTTTGAATTGTCTTGGGAATCTGGAGAGGTCCCAATTGATTGCTAACATTTTAGCAATGAATCTGACTAACATTTTCCCAAGAGAAGGGACTGCAAAGGTGATCCTGGAAATTACAGGCAGTCACTTTAGTGACCAGTAAAAATGTGGGCAAGATTATTCTGGGAATCATTGAAAAGCACATATTGAAGGACGAGGCAGATACAGGTCAGAGCCAGTACGGCTTAATGAGGGGGAAGTCCTACTGAGTAYCCTCAGAGAAAAGAGAAGATCTCTAAATATGACAAGAAGGTGACGGGCTCCAACCCCAGTGGCAGGCACTGGAGCTGAAACAATCCTCACAGGTATGAGTCACTCCTATAAACAAGAAGAAATGGACACAGAAGTCACCTGTTAGTAAAGGAAGGTGAAACAGGGCTATTCCAAGAGCAGGAGGAAGAGATAGGGAGGAGATGGCAATTCATTATCTACCCATGTGTGAGCTGTGGGATACATGAAGAGACTTCAGCCATTATCCAGATGAGCACAGTATTACCTGTCTGCTCTGCTGCTGGRATAACAGGGCTAGTAGCCT